TTGTTTTCTGAGTTCATTTGCTTTGTCTTTTGTCTGAAGATATACAGTCCGAACAGTCGAATAGCATGTTTAAGTGTTGCTTGGATGGGTAGGTGACTGGGGTGGGTCAAATGCTGACCCTCCTTTGGTGAGAATAATTGTCTCCATGTGAAGTACAGCTAGGGTAACTTGTTATTTGTGGCACATTTCTGTTCCCTTCATCACTGTTGATTTTTTTCGTATATCAAACTATTCAAAAAGCTGCATGCAGGAAAATACAGCGGCACCCCATACACACCGCCTTCCCTCCACCTCCAAACACCTGCCCTTCCTTTCTGGCCATTTCCACCTGTCCCACTTGAGGCCAGCCTCACTCTTTTTGTCTCTACTCTTGGGTGTGTCTTTTCCTGTTCCCCGTTCTCACATAAAGGGACACTATCTATCACTGCTTTGCTGGTTTTCACTTAGCACTTAGACTTCATTTTAAAGATTCAATGGGCTTGTTCACTTCCCTATTCATGTTGAACATTTCCCTATGATTATGATTATGATGTGTGTGTATGTTTGTGTGTGAGTATGGATACTGGGTGTGCCACAGTGTACTTGTTGGAGGTAAGAGGACAAGTTTGGGGAGTTGGCTCTTTCCTTCCACTATGGAATCCAGGAATCAAACCCAGGTCATAAAGTTTGTGCAATTGCTTTTACTCAATGAGATATTTGACTGGCCCTGTTTTCCTTCCTTCCTTCCTTCCTTCCTTCCTTCCTTCCTTCCTTCCTTCCTTCCCTCCCTCCCTCCCTTCCTTTTTAAAATATATTTTGAGGTTAGAGAGACTTTTAAAAAATGTTTTTTAATGCGTCTGTGTGTATTGCTTGCATATATGTAAGTGCATCTGTGTCATACAACACCTGTGGTGGTCAGAAGAGGGCGTCTGATCCCCTGGAACTGGAGTTATGGATGGTTGTTAGCAGCTGTGTGGGTTCTGGGAACCAAACCTGGGTCCTCTGCAAGAGCAACCAGTGCTGTTAACCACTGAGCCATCTCTCCAGCCCCATGAGAGAGACTTTTAAAATTGTATTTTATTATTTTATTATGTTTATTTATGTGTTTGAGTATATTGCCTGCATGTGTGTAAATGAACCCATGTCATGCAATGCCCTTGGAGATCAGAAGAAGTCATCGGATCCCCTGGAACTGGAGTTACGGACGATTGTTAGCCACCATGTGGGTGCTGGGAATCAAACTCAGGTTCTCTGCAAGAGCAGTCAGTGCGCTGAACCATTGAGCTATCTCTCCAGCCCAAGAGACTTTAAAAACTTTTTAAAAATATTTTACTATTTTTATTTTATGGGTGTGCACGTATTGCCTGCATGTAGGCAAGTGCACCCATGTTGTGCAGTGCCCACGGAGGACAGAAGAGGCTGTCGGATCCCCTGGAACTGGAGTTATGAATGGATGTTAGCTGCTATTTGGGTATTAGGAACTGAACCCTGGTCTCCTGCAAGAACAGCCAGTGTTCTTAACCGCTGAGCCATCTCTCCAGCCCCCAAGAGAGACTTTTTAAAAAGCACGTTTGGGGCTCTGCAGTTAAGAGAACTTGCTATTCTTCACAGTGCCTGAGTTCATTTTCCAGTACCCACCCTGGGAGACTATAGTTGCCTGTAACTACAGCTCCAAGGGATTCAATACCCTCTTCTGGTCTCCAGGGGCACCTGCACATATGTGACATATACATTCATGTGTACCTTCTGTGTGCTGGGAGCTTTGAACCATGACCCTTTGCAGCAACAGTCCAGGGAGTGGGGATATTCTGATGCAGCTGGTTAGACAGGGCTGGAAATAGCCTCAGTACTGTGGGGACACACAAATACACATAAACAAAAATGTTTTTAATCTTAAAAACAAAAGCAAGGTCTTGCTATATAGCCAGTTCTGGCCTAAACCTCTCAATCCTTCTGCCTCAGCCTCCCAAGTGCCAGGCTACATGTATTTGCCACCATGTCCTAAGATTTAAAAATAATTAATTTTGTGTTTATAAGTGTTTTGCCTGCATGTGTATAAGTGAACGTAATGCCTACAGAGGCCAGAAGGGGGCATTAGATCCCCTGGAACTGGAGTTACGGGTGGTTGTTAGCCACCATGTGGGTGCTGGGAACCAAACCCTGGTCCTCTGCAAGAGCAGCCAGTGCTCTTAACCACTGAGCCCTCTCTCCAGCTCCCTAAGATCTTTTTTATTGCTTTGGAATTAAGGTTTTCACAACCATATTCACCATCTATTGTTTGAGTATCTGAGGCGTGTTGATTTGCATATGCTAGTTCTATATGGGGCTGATTTATTGTTTGGGTAACTTTTATTCTTAATTCTCTGTTACTTCAAGCATACAATCATAGTACCTGAAAAAGGGGATAACTTTCCTTCTATCTTTCAAATATTTTCATTGGTTTAAGAGGGTGTCACTATGCAGCCCAAGCTGGCCTGGACCTCACCATCCTGCCTCAGTCACCTGAATGCTTATATCACAAGTATGTGCCACTGCACTTGACCAATAATTTATATTTTAGAAGCTAGTTATTTCTCTCCACAGTGGAAGAGAGTAATCGAGTCTGCTGCCCAGATGCCAGGGAATAGGAGGCTGGGGCTCTGGAGGCTACACTCTGAGCCCTCCTACCACATCTCTATGTGGAGTCAGGGGGCACAGCCCAGAGAATTCATGCATGGTACTGTCACCCCTGTGACATGGTACTCACCCTGAAGCTGCCCTGTACTCTCTGTTCTCTGAGTCCCATCTCAGGTGCTTTTCAGTGACTGTTCACCAGTGTGTGTTGCTGTAGTCCCCCTCTCTAGCAGGTGATGCTACCTCCCAGGGCTGTGGCCCCAGGTCCTGGAGGGATGGGGAGAGGTTGCTGAGGACATGCAATGGAATTAATAGTTGAGTCAGGCAGGGTTAGTCAATATGGGTCTGGGGCATGGTGCATGAAGACTTGGTTGCAGAGGTGGGGACAGCCATCTGCAGATAAGATATGGGTAAGGGAGGTGGAATCTCAGAGAATTTGTTCTTAGGTTTGAGCACAAGTGGCTCATAGATAGTAGCCCTGCATTAAGATAGAGATGACAGGTGGAGGGAAGGGCAAGATGAGGGGTCCAATTAGCTGTGGACACGGGATTCAGAGCTCTGGAAGAAGTGGGTGGCTGGAGGCCATAGTGATCTAACTATTGGCTTGGGTAAGGGAGTGGGCCTAAATGGAAGCAGGCAGGAGGGAAGCTAGCTCCAGAGAACCCAGACCACCACAAATGGGAAGGGTAGATCAGAGCATAGTGGCCTCTAGTGGTTGGACCATTTTATTTGGGGGCAAGCAGGATGCACCAAAGCCACAGGAAAAAGCCTTGAGGAGTTTGAGTATGTACCCCACCTGCGTGTTGAAAATGATGAAGTTTCCAGTTAACCTGGCAGCTTTAGCCTCCTTCCATCCTCCCCGCAACAACTCCTACACTCCCCTGGCTGAGCTCTGCCTTACCTGATACTGCTCTGCCCTGTGTCTGGCAGTACTCTAGATTCCATTTCAGCCTGAGGTCCATGAAGGCAGTGCTGGGGCAAGGCCAATTCCACAGTACCGGGCCAACAGCACCCAACTGATCCGTGATCCAGCCCTCTGTTGCGGTTGGGGCTTGGGGGCTTTGGACCGTGATCCTTTGTGGCAACTGTCTAGGCAGGCAGTGGGAATATTCTGGTACAGCTGGTTAGACAGGACTGGCAAAGGCTTCCATAAAAGGGCCTGGGGGTGCTCAGCAAATATTTGCCAAGTAGGCAAAACTCTGGTCATAGCTGGTGTTGCAAGTTCCTTTGTGGAACCCATGGTGTAGGAGGTGTGGCTCCTAGCTGATGGGGGGCCCTGCAGCGGGTGATGAATTATTCTGAGGTTCAGCCTTGTAAGAGTCAGGAAAGAGCTCAAGGATGGCTCTGGGTCATTGCTAGAAAGTTCTGGCCAAGTTTAGGTCTCCCTGGAATCGATCCAACTCACCAAGGCCCTTCCCAGGAGAGAAAAGCCTCAACCCTGGTCAGCCATTGTTTCCTTGCTGGATGCTGGGCTGAGCAGAAAAGCCTCTGGCTTATATACCACCATCACTCAAGGCTTCCCTGGAGCTGGGCAAGCACTGGCCCATCCTCCATGTGTTTAACACACGTTTCTATTCTCCCCTTGATCCTCCAGTCTGGAAAACCACGGCAGTAGAGGGACCCTGGAGAAACTCCAACCCTGGAGACTTAATCTCCAGTTGGGCTAGTCTCAAATGAGCTGTGCACACTTAGACAAATCACTCTGCCTCTCGGAGCTTGTAATTTTTACTCTCATAAAATTAGTCTGTTGGGGTGGAGAGATGGTTCAGTGGTTAAGAGCACTGATTGCTCTCACAGAGGACTGGGGTTGGTTAGATTCCCAGGACCCACATGGCAGCTAACAACTATCTATAACTCCAGTTTCAGAGGAATCCGATGCCTTCTTCTGAACTCCGTGGGCATTGCGCGACCCAGGTGCACTTACACACATACAGGCAATACACTCATACACCTAAAATTAAAAAATTAGTCTGTTATAAACAGATTATTTCACAGCATTCCTTACTCTCTGGAAAATGATAGAAAATTCTGGTTTCTTCTCTCAGTTTGGAAGCTCTGTGAGGGCAGGAGCACAATTCTTCTCTCATTATTTTCTTTTGTCCAATGTTAGGGAACACTTGGCATGCCTAACTACTAACAGTTCTCTAAAAATAACATTAGTGGGGGCCATCGAGATGGCTCAGTGGATAAAGGTGCTTGCTACCAAGACTGATGACCTAAGTTCGATCCCTAGGGCTCACATGGTGGAAGAAGAAAACCAGCTCTGGCAAGTTGTCATCTGATCTCCACCTGTGCATTATGGCATGTGCACGTGTTTACACACACACACACACACACACACACACACACACACACACACACACACACACACACGAATAAATGTAAAAACATTATGAAATAGACAATGCTAGTATTTGGTGTTTACTGTGTCTAGCACCAGGCTAAACAGTTTCTGTAAATTGCACAATTTAAGTCTTCATATTGCTCAAGGAAGGTACAATGCGGCTAGCTTGTAACCCCAGCACTGGGGAGATGGAGAACGTGAATTCCTGGGGCTCACTGGCTAGCCAGCCTAGCCTACTTGGTCAGTTCCAGGCTAATGGAAGATCCTGTCTCAAAACACAGTGTGGGTGGTGCTTGAAAAATAACAGTGGAGAAGGTTGTCTCTGGCCTCATGCATGCACACACATACATACAAACAAAATGGAAATGAAACAAAGGGGCCCAGAAGCCAGAGGGAGACTCCAGGAGTAGAGGTTGAGGACAGTTTGTCACAGGGTATTCTGGTCACAGGAACAGGGGCTCTGAGGCCCCAGCATTACTTAGAAGGCAACAACAGGCTCCCCCAGGTCCGAAGTAACCTCTGCCATGTATGTAGAAACCCCTGAACTCTCATGAAAGGGAGGCATACTCAGAGCTATAAGAGTTTTACCCTTGGTGTTTTATTTCTCTGGTGGGCCCCAGCTTAGCACCATACAGGTGGGTCTGTGGCCTGGCCTCCCTCCCCCAAGGCACCCTCCCATGGTCACCCTTTCACCCCCTCCACTGGGTGCCCATGAGTCGAAGGAATTCCTGTTCCCTGGGCTGTCACCCCAAACACCACCTGAATTGGATGAGGAGGCACTCTTTTGGTAAAGCAGAGTCGGAGCTACCGGGCTGGCACTGCTGGTGGTCTGGTGTCACCTAAGCTGAACAGTCCTGCCTAGCCTCAGTGGGTCTTCCCTCGGCCCTCTGAGATAATATGTTCCGGCTGAGCGCGCATGTACCACTCCACCCAGGAGCCGTCATATACAGGCACGTCGGGCTTGCCACAGAGAAAGGCCCCCAGTGCCACATGACAGGCTGTGACACCGGAGCCACACGTGGCTACCAGGGGCTGGGATAGGTCCACCTTCTTCTCCTGGAACAGGCGGCGGATCTCCTCTGGGTTCTTTTCCAGGCCTTCCTTGGTCAGAAACTCAGTGAATGGGATGTTCACTGCACCGGGCATATGACCAGGTTCGATGCCTGTGCAACAGGGTTGAAGAGAGGAAACACATATAAGGACAGTGGGAATGATGTCCTATGTTGGTGGTATTTATGGTATTGAGTCTCCTGACACAAACAGAATGCCAAACACTTCTCCATCATTGCATCTTATCCTCTGGACCAAACCCAGGCGCTATTCCTATTGCACAGGAGGCCAGGCTAAGGCTAAGAATCACCTATAGTTACTGCACCCAGACAATTGCTGGCTGGACTTTGAACCCAAGAATTAGACTCCACCAGAGTCACATGGGGCCCTGGGCTTCCTGACTACATACCTTGAGGATAGCATAATAATACATGTGTCCCCCAGCTGGGACTCAGGGTACTTATAGACCAGGGGTGGTATGCAGGACAGGCAATAACCAGAAAATCGCTAGTGTATCAAGTATGACCAAAAGGCCCTTGGGCTATAGTATAGAAATTGCAATAGTAATCAAAGCATCTGACATGGCTAAATGCACAGGAAAGGGCCTAGACCCCCTTAGCAGCATTTTCTCCTTAATCTCTCCCAAATTCTATAGGAAAGACATGACACAGCCCTCTCCCCACCCCAACATAAGGCACAAAGACCAGCCTGTCTCAGCTAGCAGAGCAGAGAAGATTGTAACCCAGGCTACACCAGAGCCTGTGCTGCTGTGGAGCAGGCCACAGTCCCAGGGAGGGTGGGGTCTTCTCCCAGGAGAAGAGTGGGAGTCAGCCAGTCTAGGGATCCAGACAATAGGCTGGAGAGTGTGGCAGGCAGGAGGAACCTGGGGTCCTGGAATTACACAAAAGGTTATCAGTGCCAAAGCTCAGATAACAGGGAAGTGGAAGGTGGGGGTGCTTAATGGACCTGGAAGAAGACGTTTGGGTTCTGGTATGGCTGCAGGGAAAATCAGACTTTATTCTTAAATGGATGCAGTGTAGGGTCTGGAGAGATGGCTCAGAGCTTAACAGCTTTTGCTGCTTTTCTGGAGGACCTGAGTTTGGTTCCCAACACCCACATCAGATGGCTCACAACTGCCAGTAAGTCCAGCTCCAGAGGATCTACACCCTCTTCTGGCCTCTGTGGCCTCCAACATGCACAATATACACACATATACATATAAAAGAACCAAATCTTTTTAAAAAGAATACAGTCTCGGAGCTGGGGATGTGGCTTGGTTGGTAGAGTGCTGGCTTAGCATGCACAAAGCACTGAGCTCTAGCCTCAGTACCTGGTGAAGCGTAATCCCAGCAATTGGGAGGCAGAGGCAGAAGAATCAGAAGTATAAGGTCTTATTTAGCCAAGTGGTAAGTGGTCAGCCTGGGCTACATGAGACTCTGTCTCAGAAAAACAAGACAAAACAACAAAAACCCCAAAAAGGCAGTTTGGCTAGAGCAGGAAGAGGACCCCAGCAAGGCCAGAGAACGGTGAATTAAGGGGAGAGTCACTACACCCCAAGCTCTGCAGGCTCCCAGGGCTCCCAGCTCATGTCTTGTTTCTACCTGGTCTTCAGTCAGGAGTTATTAAAGTTCCATTTTCACAAGAGGGCTGAGAGCTGCAATAAAATGAACCCTCACAGCCTGCCACTCAAATCTGGGCCATCTGGATTTTAACACGAGGCTCTTAGAAACTTCTGTCCCAGTTTCTCTGCACAGGAAGGGACAGTGCTTCAGGTCTGGTTCTGTATTCTCTGAGAGCAGCAGGAAGCGGCACTCACAAGCAGTGCGGTGGGCTGAGCATTCCCACTGAACAGGTGCAGACACTGGGCTTCTCAGAAGTCCCCATACACGACCCATCCCAGAGCAGGGAGAGGAGAAAGCTCTCAAGCTGGGGGCGGGCACCTGTAAATAAAATCAGGGCTTCCTTCTATGTTAAACTTCAACAAAGCACATTCCCTGCCCCTGGGGCTGATGGAGCACATCACAGGTGTGCTTGGCCAGGCCTAGGAATGTGGAGGGGAATGGTGAGGCTTCGGATGCGGGCTGCCAAGCCTTCATGCCTGGCACCCTGGACCATCTCGCCAACTGGCCTTCCAGGCACGCATCATTTGCTCCCACTCATGTACCAGCAAGTGTGATGGAGGAGCACGCTAAACACCACCAAGGAGAGTGTGGAGCAGAGGAGCACAGACTGATGACATCGCTTCCTACCTAGAGCTGGGAATTTGTGTGCTTGCTCTCTCTACGTCTCTCATTACAGACATGCAAAGGCCACCATCCAGAGAAGTTAGGTGACCTGCCAGGTGTCACACAGAAAGTGCAACTAGAAATAGAGCTTTTTCATATTATTGTTTTTGTGTATGTGTATGAGTGTATTGCTTGCTTGTATGTAAGTGCACCCATGTTGTACAATGCTTGAGGAGGCCAGAAGAGGGCATCAGATCCCCTGGAACTGGAGTTACAGATGGTTATTAGCTGCCATGTGGGTGCTGGGAACAGAACCCAGGTCCTCTCAAGAGCAGCCAGTGCTTTTAACCGCTGGACCATCTCTCCAGCCCGAGTTAGAGCTTTAAACCTAAGCTTGGTACCAGTAGCTGCCTTGTGTTGCCTCTGCCCTGGGGCTGAATTGGGTGGCACTCTCACATAACGCTGACCCATAGGAAATAGCTGCCTAGGTAGGTTCAAAACTGGTGGGGTATAACAGCAGTTTCCAAGGGTTGGAGACAGAGCAATACTGGTCTACAGTACCCCATGTGGCAGGAGCCCCTGAAGTCACCAAACATCTCTGAGATATAGACTTGGTCCAGGGACTGGTTGAATTGTCAGGCTGCATTGAGCACTTTAGGAGCACAGAATAGATGCTACAATCTCCACCTGGCGCGGGGGGGGGGGCATAGGAAATGCTACTCAGGGGGAGCTTCCAGGGGTGTGGTCAACTCCTTGCATGCAGGCAGGCTGGAGAGGAAAGGGGGGTGATCACTGGTTGCTCACAGTGGTTAAGTATGCAGGGAGTTTGAATCCTGGGGGCTGCTTCCTGAGGCCTCAAGCAAGGCAGCCACTGGAAGGCTCTTTTCCTCCTCTGTGCAATGGCAGCACAGGCATTATTCTCTATGTACAGGGGAATCGGTTCCTGGATAACCCCTTTCCCAGGATTCCGAAGTCTGGAGATGCACAGTCCCTCATATAAAGTGTCCTGTCTCATCTACGCAGTTTCCTCACACGTGACAGTTTCTAGATTACTGTTTCTTCTCTTTCTTGACCTTTTCTTTTTGCCTTCCATTCTCACTCTTTCTCTGTTTCTTGTTTGCTTGCTTGCTTTCTGAGATCGGGTCTCTGTAGCCCAGGCTGGCCTCAATCTCACAATCCCCCTGCCTCAGCCTCCCAGTGCCAGGCCACAACACCCAGCTCTAGACTACTTTCAATACCCCATGAGGTATAAATGCTGTGTAGTTATACCGCATCATCCACACCGTATCATCCACACCGCATCATCCACACCGCATCATCCACACCGCATCATCCACACCGCATCATCCACACTGCATCATCCACACTGTATCATTCAGGGAATTAATAAGGGAAGCTTACACCCCCAGTACAGACAAAAGAAAGTTTTCTGAGACTGTTTAAACACATGGATGCGAAGCTTGCAGTTACACAAGGATGGCTGTACTCCTGGGAGTGTTGAAAGACTCACATCGACCTGGCTACAGCCTTATCTGCGTTATGAGGACCCTCTCCCATATTACAGAGGGCTTTCCCGTAGGCTTCTTGCCTGGGGAAGCTAGGCCATAGGCAGTGGGTGTGCCTCACCTGGAACAGCCACCACCCTGTTGGGGTGACCCTCTCCGAATCTCTTTGTTAGACTAGTCTGGCTGCCCCAGATTCTCCTCCACACTAACAACTCACACTGCGGGCGGGACATGATGGGGGGCTGCTGCCTCCTGCTAGTCTGCAAGTCTGCAGTGGCCCCACACTAGCACAGTATTGCAGAGTTACTTGAGCTGTCACACTTGTACAGGGGCACCCTGGATTCCCCACGTACTGGAGCTTCCTCTGTCTAAAGCTTAGAGGTAGCATTGTGACACCCCCACTTTAAGAAGGAAGCTAGAGGCTTAGAGAGTGGCACCTGGCAACCAAACCTCCTCCCCTGGCCGGGGCGCTGTGTGCTTGAAAGGCCAGTGCAAAGCCAGACCGTGCCTAGGATGTACATCAGTCCCGTCCCCGCACCCGAGACCCCCTCTCGACCCATTTCCCTAGCATGTTACCATCTCGTGGTTCTGGGTCCGTGCCGCGGAACCGGCCAGCTGCTCGGGCGTCCACCACCTGGAAGTGCCGGGCCTCCAGGTTTTCCTGCATGTCATCATAGGTCTTGATGAAGGTGGGATCGAGCTGAGCATGGAACTCCTTGGGCTCCGGCTGGCTCTTGCCAGAGCTGACGGGGAGGTTCTGGCTCAGCCAGTGGCGGAGGCCGCCGTCCAGCAGCGACACGGTGCGGTGGCCGAAGGCACGGAACATCCACCAGACCCGCGGTGCCGAGTAGAGGCCCTGGTCGCTGCCGTCGTAGATCACGACATGCGTGGTGGCACCCACGCCCAGGCGGCCTGCGTAGTCTGCGAAGTGCGCTGCGCTGGGCAGCATGTGGTCGTACGGCGACGTGCGGTCGCTGCACTGATCGATGTCAAAGAAGGCGGCGCCCGGGATGTGGCGCTCTTCAAACTCACGGCGGGCATCACGGCCCAGCTTCGGCAGGTACCAGGAGGCGTCCAGCAGCTGCAGGGGCTGCGCTGCGCGCGGAGTCCGCAAGGCCTCGGTCACCCACTGCGCGGACACCAGCGCGCGGAAGAGCTGCTGGGCGGCCATGGGCTCAGTGTAGCTCAGGTTGCAGGCCTGCGGGACAGGGGAGATGTCAGGAGGGAGAGGCCGGTCTGCCTGCAGGGGCTGCGACTGGGGTATGTATGCAAGTTGGCAGAGGAGGAACCCGAGCACCCGGAGGGCAGAGTCCAAGAATGCAGACTCCAAAGCCAACTTCAGGCTTTGATCACTCAGAGACTCCCGGAGTCAGGGCTTGGATACACACAACTCCAATAGGCCTTATGACCATGGGTGCCAGGAGAGGGTGGCCCAGGCCCTCTTACTCCCTATTTTTTGCCCTGAATGCAAGTGGGTAGGGCAGGGCAGGGCCAAAAGGCTGGCCCAAATGGCCCTTAAGTAAAGCAAACAAGGTCAAAGTTAAATTCACTCATCCATCCAGGATTTCAATGAAGAACCCAGAATTTACTCTTTGCCTAGTGCCATTTAATCCTCACAATTACAACACTTGACACAGCAGTTCCTTGTGCCCTGTTAAGGAGCAGTCTTAAGGTTTGGTACTGTCATTTTTTCTTGAAGGCCACTGCAGCTCCTAGAAGTGTTTTGAGTCATAAGGTGTGGTAGCTGACTTGCCTGAAGTTCCAGCATTCAGGAGGCTGAGGCAGGAGGACTAGAGTTCAGGGCCAGCCTAGTCTACAATGCAAGTTCCAGATCAACCTGGGCTATGCAGCAAGATCCTGTCTCAAAAGAACAAAACTAAAGCCGGGCATGGTGGTGTATTCCTTTAATCCCAGCACTCAGGAGGCAGAGGCAGAAGGATCTTTGTGAGAGTGAGAGGCCAGCCTGGTCTACATAGTGAGTTCCAGGCCAGCTAAAGGGAGACTGACTCTCTCTCTCTCTCTCTCTCTCTCTCTCTCTCTCTCTCTCACTCAAAACAACAACAACAAAAAAAAACAGAAACCAATGAAACTAATGCACTAAATGGGGTTCCAGTGGGCTTCGATAAGTGGATCAGTGTTGGGCACTGAGGAACTCTTGACTTTGAAAGATCCCAGACATCTCAAGCAACAATACAATTGAAAATGGCTGGAGTTTATTGTGAGCACTGAGGCCTCTACCTCAGCCTGGATGGGAGGGAGCAGGTGGAAGGGCTTCCCAGAAGAGGGAGAAGCTCAGTCTGACTGCTGTAGGGGCCCAAGAACTTGAACTTGATCTTAAGCATAAGAAGGCTGGCACTGGTTCTGGCTAAGAGCTGATCCCAGCATCTGTGACAACCCTGTGCCTAGATACAGCAGCAGGGGTGGTGAGGGGAGGGAGGCTGAGGTTCCCTGAATGGCTCTCCTGGGAACCACAGCAGCTCCTGTCCCCCCATCATTATTGGGGATCTTGTCCCCGCCCCCAGCTCTGGTTTAGGAGTAACAGAGGCCTCCAAATGCCATGACACTGCCTGACTGTTCGGTGGTATGGGCATGTGAGGGTCTCTGGGTTACTTTATCCTGTAATGGATCTTCTGACCTCTACCTCTATGTGTATGTGTGTGTGCATGGGGACGTGTGTGTAGAAGTGCATGCACCCATGTGTTAGTGTGGACACATGCACGTGGAGGCCAGAGGTCAACCTATGATGCTGTTCCTCAGATGCTGCCCACTTTTATTTTGTGTGTGTGTAAGACAAAGTTCTCTCCATGGCCTAGAACTCACCAAGTAAGCTAGGCTAGGCTGCCTGGCCAGTGAACCCAGCATCCCCCTGCGCCCCCCCCCCCCCCCCCCCCCCCCCGGGTTCTGGAGGTTACAGTAAGCTTGTGTCACCATGCCCTGTGTTTTTATGTAGGTTCTGAGGATCACAGTTCAGATCTTTATGCTTTTACCAACTGAGCTATCTCACCAGCAACCCCCCTCCCTTTTTTTAAAAACAGGGCTTTGCTCTGTATCCCAGGCTGTCTGGAACTGATGTCCACCCTTCTGTCTCCAGAATAGAGGGATTCAGTAGGTACCACTGCACCACTCCCAGCTCCAGTTTCCACCTCTTAGGTAGATTAAAGGATGAATGTAGAAGGGCCACCATTGTACACTCTATATAACTGCTTTGAATACTCATTTAAGGTGGCTGAGTGAAATCCCATTATTTCTCCCATTACTCTCATAAGCAGCTCTTGAATCTACAGCAGCGAACCTAGAATCTTAGACTTCTGGGAGTGAGACTTCAGAGGTCTGAGGTCCACCAGGCCATACCTCCTTGTTTGACTGACAGTTCTCACAAAGGGCCCTGGGTTGCTGAAAGAGGGTCTGAGAGGACTGGCAATGTCTCTGAGGCACAGAAACCAGAAAGAGACAGGCTCCTGGGGGTTTGGTGGGCCAAGATCCTGTGGGGAGTGGTTTTCTGAAGATGGACCCTCAGAGCATACAGGACAACCCCAGGTCATCCAGGGCAAGCCCAAGCCCATATCCCACTGTGTGGGGACTCAGGCAGTCAACAGTACCTCCCTACCTGGACCTTCCTGGCACCCTCTTTCTCTCATTGCCAAGCTCAAGACTCAGAGGATGCTGGGAAAATGCTAATGTTTGCATTTTTGCAACATGCTGTGACAAGTATTTCAGGGCAGGACCAATGTTTAGAAAGTGGGAGGGTGGAATCCAGGAAGTAAACAAAGGCAGCTTCTATCACCACGGGGGCTTGGGGTCAGAGATTAAACTCCCAGTCTACGTGGAGGCCTGGGTAACCTGACCCTGCTTCTGTCTCCGGCTGGGAGAAGTTTCTGGCCTACACCCGCAGGGTGGTAAAGCAGGCAGGCAGGATAAATGTTACTTTCGTTTCCGTGTTATCTGCCGCTTTCCCTTCTGGGGGCCTCTGGGTCTCCTCGCCCTGACTCTTCTGCACCGCTTTGTTGGTCCTCTTGTTCGCCTCACCCCCGATTGTCTCTAAAGACATTAGGTCATTCCAATCCTCATCTACTGTTCTCTACCCCAACCCACAGTGGGTCCCAAGCGAATAGTGACCCTTAAGGCGAACTAGGGGCGTCCTAGAAACTCTTCTCTCGTAGACTACGTCCCCTCCTCCACTCAGGCCTAGTCCCACGCTGCGCACCCCCAAACAGTACCCTTCCCTTATGCAAAGGCAAGCAGGACACGGTGGGCAGTAGATAACCGGGTCCTGAGCTCCCCATCCCCCAACTCCGCCGTGTCGCCCCCTCCCCACACCCCCAGCTTCCTGTCCTTCCGCCACTAACCTGCAGCTGGCCAAAGGGAGGAGACTCGGGCACAGCCCACTGCCTCGGCCAGTAGGAGCTGTCGCTGGCTGCACCTTCCACTGGCAGGGTACGGGGGACGCCCATGGCACGCCGCCGGGCTTCGCATTGCCCCAGAGTCACCCCGCGCCTCCGGCAGTCCCCTGGGGATGTGAGAGGCTCTCCACCCGAGGGTACAACCAGGTCCCGGTGCGAGGGCGCAGGGGTGGTTCGGAGTCAAGACTGTTGGCTAGATGTCCCCCCTCTGGAGGCGGCGCGGTGGTATGGGCTATCTGGGGACGCTCCTGGCTCCGGGTTTGAACTCTCCAGCTTCTCTGGAGAACAGGGGCGAGTCCCGGTGCAGCCATCAGGGCGAGTGAGTGCAGCGGGTCGCCCGGGATGGGGCCGCCGGCTGGGCCATCTGCGGCCCCGGGGAGGGTGACAGCGAGGCGGGGTGCCTGGGACCCTCTCAAGCGACTGGGACATTCTAGAAGCGAGAGAACCCAGGTTGCTGGGACGGGGAGCAGGCCTGGCGAGGGCTCAGGTCAGGGCTGTGCGTCCAGTCCCTGTCCTGCCAACAGAGGGGACTCGGAGCCCGAGGGCTGTCTTCCCCACCTAGGACAAGTTCTCCCGGTTCCTTGCTGGCAGGATCCCGACCGCGGGTATCTTTGCTGGAAGAGCCAGCCCCTCCCAGCAGCTGCTGCAACTGGAGCGCTCAGAAACTCTTGGCCACGCCCACCTGCTCTCTGGGGGACCGGGCAGGGAGGGCGCCGGGCCAGTGGGAGGGACTGAGCAGCCTTTCCCTAGGGAATGTGCAAACCTACCCCCACTGGCGTCCCAGCCCCCGCTGGGGGTGCCGTTGACACCGCAGGCTGGGAAAGTGCAGAGGACCAGAGCCCCGCCTCTCGGGCCCCGCCCACCGCGCTCAGTCCTTACAGGCCTGTCTCTTTCCTGGTTCCCACCCGCGCCAGGTGACACGCAGAGCTGACACCATGGTTCATCAGGTGCTCTACCGAGCGCTGGTCTCCACCAAGTGGCTGGCAGAGTCCATTCGGTCCGGCAGCCTGGGGCCCAACCTGAGGGTGCTGGATGCATCCTGGTACTCCCCCGGGACCCGCCAGGCCCGCAAGGAGTACCAAGAGCGCCATGTGCCTGGTGCATCCTTCTTTGATATAGAAGAGTGCCGGGACACGGCCTCGCCCTATGAGATGATGCTGCCCAGCGAGGCCCACTTTGGGGACTACGTGGGCCGCCTGGGCATCAGCAACGACACACACGTGGTGGTATACGATGGTGACGAGCTGGGCAGCTTCTATGCCCCCCGAGTCTGGTGGATGTTCCGTGTGTTTGGCCATCGCACTGTGTCAGTGCTCAATGGTGGCTTCCGGAACTGGCTGAAGGAGGGCCATCCTGTGACCTCTGAGCCCTCACACCCAGAACCAGCTGTTTTCAAAGCCACTCTGGACCGATCCCTGCTCAAGACCTATGAGCAGGTCCTGGAGAATCTACAGTCTAAAAGGTTCCAACTGGTGGATTCACGGGCCCAGGGGCGGTACCTGGGCATCCAGCCAGAGCCGGATATAGTAGGTAGGTATCCCTATGGCCTCTGGGGAGGATTGCCCAGTGGGAGGATGGGGTGCCAGAGAGACTGGGACCTTCAGCCCTCCCATGTGATCCTGTCTTTCCACCTGTAAAATGAGAGTACATGGCAGTTTTTGCACCTCTGATACACGTGCCTTCTCTGTCCTCTTATCCACATGCTAACAAGTAGCCAGCATCAGCAGAGGTGACCAGTGACCCATCTACCCATGTCCACTTCCAGGCACCATCTCCCTGACATGGACTAGTATGTTCCAAAGGGCATCCTGCTCATGAACTGGCATCTGCAGGGCTGTACAGACGCCTACAGACATGCTTAGAGTCTAGCCCCCAGAAACCCGTTCAAACACCATCAGGACCAACCATCCTGGGACTCTGATTGGCTTTTGAGAAAGAAGTCTTGTTTATAACCTTACCATCAGCTGTAGTCTGTCCATGGGGCTGTTAACAGCAGCTGCGGCTCATGCCAGGGATAGTGTACCATGATATACTTCTACTTTAGATGGAAGATGAGATGTCAGGATGTTTAGTTATTTGTATAGTTAAGTGGCAGAGGCAGGATTTGAACCCAGCACTGTCTTGTTTTTAAAAAAGTACTCTAAACTCAGATGTACCAAAATTGATCAAACCCCTACCTCCCAGAGCTAGGGGATTCCTCCTCTGCCAGTCACTCCCAGAGAGAGATGGCCCTTGGGTCCTCTTCTATGTGATGGGAAGCCAGAGGGAGTCTGCATTGCTTAGGAGTCAGAGAAAGCCTCAGGAGAGGAAATGTTGCATTCTAGAAGCTTCTAACCAGAGACAACCCTGAGGTCTTGATTTTTCTGGGCACAGAACTGGTGGCCCAACCTTGGTGGATCCTTTCTCAGTGTCCCTGCCCTCCCCTGCATGGTCTAACTCTGGGGTAACATTTTACTTAACTTGTTGCGAAAAGTGTTTCTTCCTTTCTGTGGCCAGAGGAAGAGACCAGGGAGAACATCTGTGAAAACTGTTTTGAATAGTCTTTATAATACTACTGGGCCAACCCATTGGCAGAGGGGATGCTGAAGCATGGGCAGGTGGAGACCCCACACTTAGTCATGGACAGAGGTTCAAGCTCTGCCTTCCCCAGCTCCACTCTCTCCAGGCCTGCCTTGGTCTGGGAAAGTCTGGAGGGAGAGTCATGTTTGTTGGGCACCTTGCAAAGATTCTGGGCTTAGAATGCCTGCAGCCCCTTCTGGTCTTGGCTCAAGGTACCTTTTCTTCTTCTGATTTAAACTACAGAGAAGAAGCAGTGAAGCTGGTTGTCTGGCTCTTTCCAGGCTGGGAGGCAAACTGAGAGATGAGTGCTACCAGGCCCAAACAGTGTACTCATTTTACAGATGAGGAAAAATAAGACTTGGAGAGGGAAGAAAATCTGTTGCCAGCAAGGGCCCCTGAGAGCCGTGAATTTGAAGTCTCTCCCTTCTGTATGTCTCTTCCTACTGCCTCTAATCTCCCTGCTGTGCTGGGGAGCCCTGGGTTCCCACTGCAGCATAGCCCCTCCTATGTGGAGGGCCCTCAGCCCAACTGCTTGACCTTGAGCTCCCCAGTCATCAACAGGCAGAGGCTCCCAGCCCTGCCTACTCACATGCACATAGCTTTACACACACAGCGAGCTGGCAAAGGGGTTCTTTGGAGGGGAAGGCACTGAGCAAAGTCCAGGGCCACCTAGACATGCAGGAAATGGGCTACCCCCCACCCCCACCCCATAAGAGGATTTGCTGGACACAAAGCACACGAGGCACTGTCAAGGTCATGGTCTGCTGCCTGGGAGGGGTTCAGAGAGGTTCCTGTGGGTTCAACAGTCCAGTTATAAAACATGGGGAGTGAGGAGGCCTTGACCCTGAGTTCCTGGAGGAAATGACCCTGGCAGAAACTGGAAATGGGTCTTCAGAGACCCCAGGACCCCTGAAGGCAAGCACCTGCCCCTCTGGCCTTCACATGGTACCTTCAGAGGTCCTGTGGTCTTTTTGGCAGGAGTGCAGCAATCAGGTAGGCTCTGTACAACCACATCCCTTTGCCCCTGAACCGCTATTCTTCTGAAAAGGAAAGCTGTCCTCCACAAGTGCACAGAGGAAGGAGTGCAGAGGCAACCTGTATTATCTAGGCTCAGGCTCTGGCACCCTAGGGCATCCAGAGGAGAGAGGAAGACACATAGAGAAGGCAGGGACTTTCAGATTCAGGACTCTCAGGGAGGGCTTGCTGGTAGCCAGCTGTCTCCTCTCTCCAAGCCTGGAGTTTCCTCATATGAAATGGGAGCGCTGTGTTCGTGCCTGGCATCATTCACTGTTCAGTTGGGCAGCCTGTGTTGCTATGAAGCTGTGCTTTTGCTCTCTTGGGAGACAGGTGAGAATGTGAGAGAGGAGAGTGTTGACCCCTGGCTATACAGTGTCTTCTGGAATCTTCAGTGGCCTGGCAAGGGAAGGATAGACAGGGTGGGCCTAGGCAATACAGGGTGGCAGGCACCAACGTGAGGCTCTCCCAAGGCCGCTGCTAAGTGTGTGGTGAGCAATGAGCTAACCCAGGGACTGGGGGAAAGGTCACTGCTCCACATTGTTGCTTTGTGGGAACAAGTCTCTCAGCTGTGTCTTGCCTCTTGGGCTGTGGCCAGGGTACCTGTACTGGATTCCTTGTGTCTTTGGGAGGAAAACCAGAATACAGGTTTTCCCGGCCTCGAACACACCTATCATGGCTTGAGGGATCTTAACTTGCCAACTTGACTGGAATCTCCTCAGCCAAACTTATAACAAATTTCCTTGACTTCTGGGCAGCAGAGGAACATGAGCAGTGTGCTGGATAGCTTTAGTGCCACCTTGACACACCTGGGTTGAGGGAGCCTCAGTTGGGGAATTGCCTCTATTGGACTGGCCTGTGGCCATGTCTGAGGGACATCTTCTTGATGAGTGATGTGGGAGGGCCCAGCCCACTGTAGGTGGTGCCACCCCTGGGCAGGTGGGCCTGTGTTGCATAAGAAAGCAGACTGAGCAGGGGCCAAAGGAGCAAGCCCGTAAGCAGCGTTCCTCCATGGCCTGTGTTCCAGCTCCTGTCTCCGGGTTCCTGCCCTGAGTTCCTACCTTGGTCTCCCTGATGAACTGCGACCTGGGAGATGTAAGACAAATAAACCCTTTCCTCCCCAAGTTGGTACTGGTCAGAGTTCCTACCTTGGGCTCCTGGATGAACTGTGACCTGGGATATGTAAGCTAAATAAACCCTTTCCTCCCCAAGTTGGTAGTGGTCAGCAATGGAGAAACTAACTAGGACAAGCAGTCACCTCAGCCAGTTCTCTGCCTCAACCTTCTTTTTTCAGAGGATGCTCAGGGTGACCAAAAAACAGGCTTTGGGGTCCGACCGTCCCTGACTTCACATACCTTTGCTATATGTCCTAGGGAGATTTGCTTCCCTTCTCTGAGCCTGGGCTTCCCGTTGATGCTGGGAGGAACATCTCCCCAGCTTTGTGAGGACTGAGGAAGGCCCGAGACTACACGTTCTGGGTGCTGTCAGGGGCTGCCTGAATGGTGGCATGCCCACTGTTGGGAGGGGAGGCCTGGGGCCTGCCACTGAAAATGAGGTGGGAGGAGTGTGGCAGGAGGCCCTGCTTCTTCTGGCTGCCATCCTCCTCTGGGTGGCGGTATGCCAGGGTTCTCTGGCCTGGGCGCTCCCTCCCCACAGTGGCTGTTGCTCATTTAAAGTCCCCAGGCAAGGACTGGAGAGGTTGCTTAACCTGTAAAGTGCTTATCTTGCAAGCATGAGGCTCTGAGTTAGATTCCCAGAACTCAAGCAAAAATAACCCACCATGGTGTTGTCTGTAATGGTAGCCCTGGGGACGCAGAGACAAGCGCATCTCCGAGGCTCACTGGCCGGGCAGCCTATCTGAAGTAGAGAATTCTAGGGGGATGAGTGATTGAGGAACAATAGCCTAGGTTGTCACTGGCCTCCATATGCATGCACACATAGGTGTACATAACCCCCCAAATATACATACGTGTGTGTGTGTGTGTGTGTGTGTGTGTATATATATATATTCTCCTTCAAGCCCACTGCTCTCTCCCCAGGCTGGGGCTCCAGCTCCCCAAGATCCCCCCAACTTCACCCTGACCCTAGCACCCACAAAACTGCTTGAACTTGACAGAGCTGAACTCCACAGTGAGGCCAGCTGCTCCTCCCTGGCAGGTTATGCCTGGCTGGTCTCAGGTCACAGTAGGAAGGCATGGCTGTCATTTACATACTAGGACATGTGTTCAAACAGCCAGAAGACCTTTTGTGCTAATGATTCCAGAAATTTGGAACCTGGGGCGAGGGTTCCCCCTTGTTACTGGCCTGACAGTGTATCTGCTATGCCTCTTGGGGTCATTAGGGGCTTTTATATACAGAGGGCTGGGCCTGCCTGCTGCTGTGTGTGGTGCTGTGGTATGGCTGGATCACAGTAGCCAGGGTTTTCCCTTCCCTCATCTGCTACCCTGGCCCTGCTCCATTCCACCCCACGGTTCAAGTTTAATGGGTTAGTGGGAATGTTTGGGAAAGGTGGAGCCTGAAGAGGTAGAGGCAAGCCTGGGTTGGGGCCCACTCTCAGTGCTGTCTTCTGGGTACAGGGCGCACAAGGAAGAGGGAAGTGGTCAGGCACGCAGGGACTAAGAAGGCAGACCCTCTAAGAGCCGTCAGTCACCATGGCCCTTCTTTGTCACATCCACCTCCTCCATTTTTTTCTCACTAAAAGATTTTTTAGATTACATATATTTGTGTGCGTTTGTATCTCCACATGAGTGTAGGTGCCCAAGGAGACCTGAAGAAGGTGTTGATGTTTGATCCCCTGGGGCTGGAGCTGCAGACAGTTGTGAGCTGCCTGACATTGGAGCTGCAGACAGTTGTGAGCTGCCTGACATTGGTGCCGGAAATTGAACTCAAGTCCTCTGCATGCAGTTGGTGCTCTTAACCACTGAGAATTTCTCCAGACCTCACTCCATTTTTGTTTGGATTTTTTTTTTTTTGAAACAGGGTCTCACTCTGTAACCCACACTGGCCTCATGCTATTGATCCTCCTGCCTCAGTCTCCAGCAAGCAGTGATGTGTCATCATGTCTACCCCCCTCCCACATGCCCTTTGTCCTTCTTGATGACTACTCCAAAGCCTTACTGGGTGGGAGACAGTTCTGGAAAGGACCAGTGGTTAACTTCACCTTCACTGTGCTCCCAGCCAAGCCTCAGAGGTGTGTGGAGGGGCCCACATGGCCCCTGTTCCCAGAGACTGAACAGCCATGGGAGCCACAGATGTGTGTGCTGCCTTTGGGCCTTACCCTGGGGGCATTTGTTCCTCATGGGGAAACTGAGGCTCAGAGAAGTGGCATGACTTATGTAAGGTCACTGGTGTAGTAGGTGGCAGAGCTGGGATTTGAGCAGGCGTCTAATACCAGGTCCCTTCTCTTTTCACAACCATATGCCTCATAAAAACACCTAGAAACCAGGTCTGGCCCTGGGTCTGCCCATCCTCTGTCTGTCTTTAGCTGAGCCATTCCACTCCATGTCAGCATACCTCAGCATATTCATCTGTGAACTGGGTTTACAGGAGAATTCATGTTATGAATCATGAAGCTAGCCAGCTTCAGTCCTTCTTCCTAGACTGTGCTGTCCAGGAGGGTCTGGATGGCGTGTTTCTCTTTGCTGCGTCCCTTGGCAGCCAGCACAGTGCACAGCATCTGTAGGAGTTTGTCCTACCAGTTCTCAACAATCCTGTGATACAGGCATGTGCTACTGAGTCCATTTTACAGATGAGAAAACAGGTACAGAGAGCTGAAGTGATTTGCAAAGGTTAGTGGAAAAGCTAGGTGATGGAGCTGAGACTAATACCCATGTTCTGTCAAGCAGGAGTGACTTGGGACAGCCCTCCAACAAGGCACCTTGTCGTGGGGCGGGGGGCAGCGCTGCAGGCTTGGGTCTTAAGTCTTGAGTATTGAAGATAAGAAAAACAGGCAAGAAATTGTTCCCAAAAATGCAAAGACATTTTTATTTGAAAAATTCTTCCTTGTAGCTCTGGCTGGTGCCCTCTGGCCCACACTAATTCCCCCTCTTTACCTCCTCTAACCTGTGCTCTTTATCATCATTGCCCAGGACTGGACTCTGGTCACATCCGAGGCTCACTCAACATGCCCTTCATGAACTTCCTGACCAAAGATGGCTTCGAGAAGAGCCCAGAGGAGCTGCGTGCCCTGTTTGAGGCCAAGAACGTGGATCTCTCGAAGCCCCTCATCGCCACATGCCGCAAGGGGGTCACTGCCTGCCACATTGCCCTGGCTGCCTACCTCTGTGGAAAGCCTGATGTAGCTGTTTATGATGGCTCCTGGTCGGAGTGGTTCCGCCGGGCACCCCCAGAGACCCGGGTGTCCCAGGGGAAGGGCGGGAAGGCCTGAGCATGTGAGGCCTCCTCAGCATGTACCCAGACTCCAGTCAGTTCCCCTCAGTATGGCTGGGTGACCTGCAGCCGGCTCACACCTCTTAGGCAAAGGAGATCAGACAGGATTTTAGAATTGCTGTGAGCGTTTGCCCTCCCACCAACCCTGGAATAAAGTGCCTTTTCTCAGTGGCATGTGTGACCTCTTGCCCTGGGTTCTGCCCTGGCTCACTACCTCCACCCCCAACATTCTGCCCAGGAAGGATCCTTCCATGGCAACCTCCAGTCAGGGAGACCACCCTGAGGACATCGTCATCCAACTGCCTTCTTCCATCAGGGACACTCTGACTTTTGCAAAGCATGCTGGGACCTATTTGAGAGAACAGCTAGGAAGGAGTACCAGGAGGCAGTGAGAGATGAGGTCAGCACCAAGCCCTCTGCTACGGGTCCCTAGCCTTCTAAAGAGGCATCACAGGCTTAGAAGCAGGCAGAAGGGGGATGGCCTTGGCCTTGGGCTTAGAATAGACCCTCTGAGGATGAGGGACAGTGGGACTAGGGAAACAGCTCTCCTCAGGGGGATCTACAGGCCTGGCAGAGGCAGCAGGAAGCTGCCATTTGTGAAGGTTGCCTGGAGAGGCAGCCCAGACCATTGCTGCTAGATTTTGAGTTTCCTGGAAACAGGTTCTGGGGTCCCAGGGTTCCATCTACCAGAGCTCTTGAATCCTCGGTCCACCCTTCCAGAGTTAAGAGGGATCCAGAAGGATCCAGGACTAAGTCTCTCAGGAGGAAGCCCAACTGAGCCCAGCCCTCTGGCAGAGGGACTCTGGGGCTCCTGGGGAGATGCTGAGGCCTTAGGTCTGCAGAGGCTGAGCCTCACCTCTGTGTCCCCCTTCCCTTGCCAGCTTTCCACCCCTCAGAACCTACACAGACCTGAGCAGCCTCAGGGACTGAGGATGAGTGGCCTTCCTCTCTTCCTGCTCCTCCCACCCAGCTGCCCTGTCAGTGTGGTCATGAAGCACCAGCCGTGAGTCCAAGTGTGGTTCAGGTGCCAGGGATCCAGTAGGCCTCTTCCCATAGCACATAGGTCTCCAGCATGGGGGGTGGGCTCCGGGGGCAGGCTGGAGGTGGGGGAGGACACAAACGCAGGGTATGTCCAGAAGTTGGTAGAAGGGAATGGGGAGTGTGGACAGCTAGCTAGGTGTCTCAATCAGTGGAAGTGAATAGAGTTGTGCAGAAGGCTCTGGGACATCTTGAGAAAGTGGTAGCTGAAGGAACAGCCAGTGTCAAGGTCCTGAGGCCGCTGTACACAGATGGGGCCTTTGGTACTTAGATAAAGGAGGATCCACGGTAGAGGAAAGGGGCATGTCTGGTAGGGCCCTGTAGCTAAATAGGAGGGCTTCAGCTTTTACTCTGGTTGAAGTGGGATGCTACTGGAAGGTTTTGATCAGAGGGGTAACATTATCTGGCATGGGTATGACCAGGATCACCTAGCTGTTGAGGTGAAGAAAGCCTTTGAGGGTTTGACACAGAGCCCAGCATGGCTCCCAGGTTATCTGCCTTCCTGTCCTGTGTGATCCCTGCTCCATTTTAAATGAGGGAAAAAGTGATGGGAAGTCACTGCCAGGACAGCACAACACAAGACTGATGTCTCTTTTCTTCACTGGCTTTGCTGAAATGGCATGTGGGGACCCACACAGCAAGGGACTGAGGAGCCAGGAGAACCCTAAGGCCCTCCATCCAGAAGACCACAGAACACAGGGTCATGCTAGCAGACATGAGTCTGCAAGCCTATCAGTTCCCAAGGGAGCCTCAGGGTGCTCGCCGAAGCCCTGGCCAGCATCTACACTATAGTCTTCTGAGATGCTGGGTAACCATGCTTAGATTCCCACCCCCAGACCCCAAAACTGTGAGATAGCAACTGTATATTAAACGGAGACTTTGGGCAGACTGTCTCACACTAAGGTCCTTAAAAAGTGTGGCAAATGGCATATCTAACAGAATGAGATGGTACATGGCTGGCATTCCAGCATGTGGCAGACTGAGGCAGGATCAGCCTGAGCCACATCTACAGTCCCTGTCTCAAAAAAGTAAAAGAAAGAAAAAAGCTCATTTAATAAGTAGCAGGCTCTGGGGATCCTAAATTTAACAAAGTGTTCTCTGCCTTCTGGAGATGATCCTGCAAGGCTGGGCACGTGGGAGCTACCCACCTCCACCCTACCCTGCTAGCAACAGACCAGCATTCTCACCAGTGTCTCAGCCTCCTCTTAACTCGCCTACAGCCCTGTAGTTCAAGGGGAAGAGGACCCTCACTGTCAACCTGTGCTTTAAAATTCTTCCCTGATCCCCTGACACCCAGCTTAGATGGTTCCCCACTTTGAATTACATTTGTGCTCATATCTTTCATAGTTTATCCCTTCTAAATGACTGAGCTTCTGTGCATCCTTCAAGATCCAGCTCCCCTTTCCCTTGACTTGACTGTGTCTTCTATGGATTCCTTTGCTCTCTTAAGAACTTTCTTTGTACTTTGAGCTGTCCACCCTCACCCCCACAGTCCAGCCTGGGTGGCCATTCGGGAACATTTCGGATAGGATGGAGTCAGTGAGTGACAGGCAACTGGAAGTCTCTCCTGTCCCCTCAGCCCTGGCTCTCTCCTGGCCCCTCACCCTATCAGCTCTCTGAGGTAACAAAGCCCAGTGTCTAGTGTCACCATGGCAACTCCAATGAACAGCTAGGAAGGCTGCTCCCTAGCAACCCATTGGTCCTCTTGGGCAGCAGTGCTGCTTAGTCTGACCCTGCAGAGTAGTTTACCTGGGAGGTGAGGGAGAGGACTTGTGAGGTGGGTGGGGCTCCATCACCACACAGGGCTTCTTCCTCTTCCTCTGTACCCAGAGCGGCTTGTGGCAGCTGCACCTTCCTTCCCTCCCTGGCCGACGTCTCTCAGGACCTTCTTCTCCAGGTTAGCAACTAGCCACCTTCTGTGTCAGCCAGCCCAGGCTGCTCTGACTGTCTCTCTGGGGTTGGGAATGTGTGTGTGTGTCTGTGTGTGTGTGTGTGTGTGTGTGTGTGTGTGTGTGTGTGTGAGGTCACATCGGG